CTGTTTCTTCTTCTTCCAACTCTCTGAAATCTCATTCTCCTCTTAATCTTCCTTCACTATCTTTTCAATTCATTACATGTCTTTTTTTTTTCCTTTTAAGACTACTGATGTTATCAATTTAAACCCCTTGCAATGGGTGCGGCTCTTTTTTTTTTTTTTGTAGTCGACGTATGTGCTCTCAGAACTCGGATGATGTTTTTCTCTAATCATTCTTTGGAACGGGAATGAGTATATAGATTTAAAGATTTATATTATTAGCAATTCCATGTACAAAATCCCAGCTAACTACTTTGACAAAGATTCAAGAGTACCATGAACAAAATTAGAAGCGAAAGCCGTGAGAATCTATTGTTTTTTCAGATTCTCTTCTGTCTCTAAAGCACAAAAGTTCCACCTTCTCTTCACTGCCTATTCTCACTTAAAAACTTCTGGTCCAAAAAGTACTACAAATTAGGAAACTGAAAATTTGAAACTCGAGAGTTTTAAAAATCATGTCCCACAAAGTCGGGCCAATAAGAACAAAGGGGAGATAGCATGTACTCAATCCTCACGCCACATCTTCTCGCATTTCAAGCACTGATAGAATGTTGTTGCCGGCTCATCAGCTGACCGGATCTGCACCTGTGAGAAAAGGGCCCTTCCATGGCTACAAGAAGGGCATGTTGCTGCAACAAAACAGAGAGAAGGTTTAAAGGAGAATGACAAGAAAATAAAGCAACAACAGTAACAAGAAGAGAGAGAGTAAGCGTAGTGTCAGATTGTATATGGCACCAAATTGACTTTGTCAAACAGAAATCAACGGATGGCAGCAGGACAACCTAGACATGAATGTGGCTTCACCTTGCAACTTTCAGCCTAACTCACAAGTCACAACCAACGATTTATACATGGATTTCTATCCAAATGAGAAGAGATATAGCTATATCAAAAAATATAACTTCTGTTAGAACTTTGGCCTGCAATCTATTTTGTAAGGGTGAACTACCCTCGAGAACTTTCACTCAGTTGTCTTTCTCTTGAAAGATACAACTTTTTCAAATTTTAGGCTATCTTCTCTTGTCAAGCAACAACATACTTCACTATGTAGCATCTACCAAAACATTAATTCTTTCTTTATCATTTCGATGCATAAATTAAAATAAAAACATATTGCAGTCCCTCGAGAACTTTCACTCAGTTGTCTTTCTCTTGAAAGATACAACTTTTTCAAATTTTAGGCTATCTTCTCTTGTCAAGCAACAACATACTTCACTATGTAGCATCTACCAAAACATTAATTCTTTCTTTATCATTTCGATGCATAAATTAAAATAAAAACATATTGCAGTTTATAGAACACCGCCGGTGAACACTCCAGAACCATCGAGTAAGGACCTCTCATTATAAGAATCAGAATCAGGTGTTGAATAGATGATCATAGCACATCAAGAACATAGAATTGTATGCCTCAGTTTTAATAGGGCTTCCCCTTTTGGAAACTTAAATGTGGATGTTTTGGCTTATAAATTGAGCATGGTCATGTCATTCACATACTGTTATCTGATGCCCATGGAATGAAACAAAAACCAAAAATTCCCAATTTATAACCACAAAAAAACTCGTATGACGAAACAAAATAATCTCCAAAAAAAAAGGGCTGTGAAGAATAAGAAGCACTTTGAAGGAAAAATACGACTTACCATCAGTTTCAGACCCGCCCACCTTCATATCTTCTTTGTTGAAAACAGGTTCAATTTCTTTCTTAACAAGATGCTGCCTCCTCTTTATTTTAACCTATTAAAGGGGGGAAACCCCAGAAAACAAAAATCAATCAACAACAAAATAAAATTGAAAATTTTCAAAAGAAAAATCAAATGAAATAGAAAATAAAATAAAACACCTTGCTTTCGAGGTGACAAACATAGGGACAGGTCCGGCAATAAAACCTGGAAGACCGACCCATATGCGGCAACTCATACTGTAACATGTTCCCACAAGTTGGGCAAAACTCCATTCTTTCTTCACAGACGATTTTACTCTGAAAACCTAATTACGAAATTGGAAATTTGTGCTTTTATACGTATATGGAGTATGTGCAAGTTGGAGTGCTCTGAAGAAACAGTTTAAAAACTGCTTAGTGAATCTCGTCTGTCATCTTAGTGTTAAGATATCAGATTAACTAAACAATAGTTATAAGAAATTAGGGCTTCCCACAGTTACAATTCAAATATACTGTTTGAATTAAATTAAATGCATTGGGCTCCAAAATATACTGCCCAAAGGCTCAAACTTCAGAAACAACAATCATCAATAAACCATCAACCCAATTAGGATCGTAAAAGAAATTAGATAAATTACAAATTATTTAAATTTGATTTGATTAATAATTGATTGGAACTTTATATTTATTTTTTAATCTATTGATAAAGCACATACATCTTAATATAGTTACTTGAATTTAAAACTTTTAAATAAAATAATATTATTTTTTATTATTGAGGCCACTCGAAGTTATTTTCTTACATTTTTTTTTTTAGTTGATTATAGTTTTTTTTTTGTAGTTTAACGTTTCTCTTAACTCTTTCTCTGATAAAGGATATTATGGTTATTAGTGTTATTGATCTTTTTTTATATGTGATTCTACGAGATTTTTTGTTACTTATTTTCTAGTTGTTTGGTTTCTTGTTTGTTTGCATATGACATTTTGTTAGTTTTTGAATATATGTGTCGAATGAGATTGTGGTTAAGGAGAGATTGATTTTTCAATCCATCACTTTGGATTTTCTCCAAGTTTTTCGCTTCTATAACCGGTGCTCAAAGATGTTGAAATGTTCTTGTTTATTAGACTATCATTGACCGTTTGCCGTTATATTTTATTTATGATACTGATATCAAATCTGTATATGATAAGATATTGGCGATAATATTTTATTTAACTAATGAATACATCATAGTACTAATTTCAAAATAAAATTTGCAGAGGAGAGGCATTTCAACATAAAATAAGAAAGGTACTCCTAACCCTGAACCCACACCAGCTACGCCAAGACCTGTAGCCACTGTTCGACCACCGTCTTATCCGCCGAAAACAGCAGGAACTGCAACATCAATGACAAGCTCCCCAACCCAAAATCCTGCCTCCTCGGTGCCTAGCCTTCAGGCATCGACAACAACAATAAAACCCGCCATGCAATCTTCAATTAAATCACCAAAGATCAAACCAACAACTGCTTCAACACCTTCCCCTCTAACTCTCCCACCTCCGCAGTTGAAAGCACTGTGCTTGTTCAGAATACTGTAGACAAGCCCAAGGAATGGCTCTTTGGTGCCCCTCAAATGGATGTTGGTGACACTTCCAAGCCCAGCATTAACGGCGAAACAAAGGAGAAAGGTCATGGCAACAAGGTTTCTTCGGATACCAAGGATGATGTTGGCACGAGGGTTATAACAATTGCCGGTGAAAACAAAGGTGCATTCATGGAATTAATCGGATCACCCCATAACATTGGCTTTCAGGGCAGTCCCCATCGTCTCGGAAAGACGGTCGATTCTTCAAGAACTGGCGGCCACTACCACATCTACAGCTGCGGCGAAGAAGAAGGTGATGGTAAGATGAACAACAATAGCGATCGCACATAAAAAAAACAAAGCCGATGAATGCGTTCATGAACTGCAATGTACAAGGGGTTAGTAACTCCATTTTTTACAATTCTTCGTGCACTCACCATGACCCCGGCGTGCACACGCATCAATTGTAACCACAGCTAGAGAAAAACAAAAGCAAAACATCATATGGTTTTAGAATAAATTTAATAATACTTTGTGTATTGAAATTTGCAGCTCACCAGTTAATTATACAAGATAAATTTAATAAAAATGTGTTGGAGCCTATTAAAAAGTGTAGACACAGACATGATTTGGGCACAACAGTTTCAAATGTCCGCTAATTTTAATAGAGCGCAAACAAGTTAATCATATCATTAGAATTCAGCATATCCTTCATCATCACCTTCACATATCAAACATTATTGCTGTTAAAATTGTGGGAAAAGATTAATCATTTTAGGGCCAACAATATCTGTTCCTCCTCCCTTTATTTTCACCATGATTCATCTATGGGGTAAACATTGCAATCACGATATAAATTGGCTCCTCGTAATTTGTAGTTAGTTGAGTGTTTATAGGGTGCGACCTAAATTTCGTAGCATTTCAGGTAAATTTGTCCGTCTCCCTATAAAATAATAGTCGCTTTGGACTGCCGACAGAGACAATGGCATCTTTCTAAAGATTCGGAAATTTCCTGATTTGTTGATAGAACACAAAATATACATATAAAGGACATGTATGTTATACTGGAGAGGCTTTGGCAGAGACTATAATTGTGTTACTAATACTACAAAAAATTACAATAATTCCCCAGTTTAGTACGTCAACGTCGAAGTAAATGTGAACAAAACTCGACTCGAAAAATCGATTTTTTTTACTCGACTCGATTCGAATCGACTTCGAGTTGCATTTCATAAAATCGACTCGACTCGAAAAAAATTCAAGTTCAAATCGAGTTATAAAATACAACTCGAATAACTCAAAATTTTTAGTAACTAGTGGATTTAAAGTTTAACTTGATTTCATTATGGTAATAATGATTAGGGGCACTATGAGTTTATCTGGGAGTGGAAGCTTATTAATCTTTTCAGGTCTTGTAAATCATTTTTATTCCCACCTTTGCCTTGCTATAGACTTTATGCTAACATGATAAATTCGTGTGATATTATAATGTAGTTTTTATTTATTGAAACTACATTATAATTATCATGAGTTCACTGTGTCAGCATATGCACTACTGATGGGTTGGACCCTCTTTTGCTTCTTCTTACTTTCGTGGTAGGGGATTGTGTTGTGAAGTACTTCCAATGTTTTAACTGCTTTTTCACCTTCGTCAATTATTGTTTATTGTCTGGTCCTCTAGGTCTAGGCTACACAAATAAGGTTAGAGTTTTTGAATTACTTAGTATCACCTCTTAGGCTGATCAAATATGCAATGTTATACTTCTTAGCTCTCTGTCACACTTGGAATAATGCTGGCCTATCTGCTGGGACTTTTTGTTGAATGGAGGATACTTGCAGTTTTAGTTAATCTTTTTTACAAGTCATAGTTGAATTTGATATTTTTTGCATTAATTTGTAGCATGTTGATGGCTGATTTTGTTTCATTTGCCTTTAGTTACATCATCTTCAATGTTGTTTTGTTCTAGGATTGGTTTTCTGATTCAGATACTCACATTTCCTTGCTAATGATAGATTAGAGGGTTTTCTGGAACTAATTAGCACATTTCCTTTTTCAGGTTTCTAATTTACATTCTCAAATTGAATACTCGAAGTCAGATGGAGTATTAATCAATTGAAGCTCCAGATTGATGCTCAAAATTGCCACTTAAAGAATGTTTTTTAATTTATTTTAGTGAACAATGTTTTTAATTGAAAGAGAAATAACCTAGAACTAATTAAATTTTAAGCTTGTTGTTATTTAGATAATGATATATACAAAACTAATTAATCATAGCGGCGTTTGTAAACAAAAGCCACTAGAACTAGTCTTTTGTGGCGTTTCATGAAGAAAAGCCACTAATGGCATATAAATTTGCGGCATTTTTTACTATAAACGTATATCATAACATGTGTTTCAAAAATGCTGCTATAAAGCTTGACCTTTTGTGGCGTTTTTTCAAAAACACCGTTATAGATCTTGACTTATTTGCGGCATTTTTTGTTGTGCTTTTACTAGTGCCGGGAAAGTTTTTAGCAGTGCATAAAAATGCTGCTATATGGTTATAAAACGCCACTAAAAATCTATTTTGCACTAAGGACGGAGGTAGGATTTTAATTCAAAGGGGCAAAGTATAATTAACAATAGAAAATAGGGGCAAAATCAAAATAAATCAAAATTTAAAGACCTAAATAAGTAATTATTCTTATATTTTAAATAGTACAAAAAAATTGGGGGCAGCCTAAGGGCCTACATGACTCCGTCCCTGGATACTTATGATTTTCAACCTAAAATGTTTATAATATATATAACATGTTAGATTTTCTCTATAAGTTTCGAAACTTGGAACTTTTGTTATGATACTTGTCGTGAAATATATTTAACATGAGAAGATCAAAATTTCATGTAAGAATCTGGTTGAAACTTGAAATGTTATGAACATCGACTTAAAATATCCTCAATAATAAGTTGGAACTATTTTAGAAATTTAGATGACATTTTCGGTTACAACAAATTTTTTTATCAATTTTAGATTAATATAAATAATATTTTAGTCTAATAACCGATAAAAAAAACACATCTAACCACCAACCAAAAATATTAAAAAGAGTAAAATTAATAATATTATTGATTGTATCATTTTCAAATATTATTTTTCTTTAGTAATATTTTTCGATTGATCGTAAATTAATATTAAATAAGCACGATGCACTTTAAACCCATCTGATTATGTTGAAGGAAGAAAAGGGGTATTAGATAGGGATGGCAACGAATCTTGAACCCGACCTGAATCCGTAGATTCAAATCCGTTTTATAAGGTCTGGATCTTGAAATTTTAGACCCGATCGATTCGGATTGGATCTAGATCCTCTTATTAAAGTATGAATCCGGGTTCGGATCTGACACTAAGATACCGGGTTTGAACCTGTTTACTCGTTTATAGAAAAGCCCACCTTTGAATTTAAAATATATATAAATGACGTACACTTTTGAAGGAACACATGCTTGTTCCACTAATGAAGATTGTGATGATGAAGTGGAGGATATCATTGACATAGTATATAAGAAACTTATTATATTACATAACCTTAATATTAATATTTAAATTTCACAAATACTATTTTCATTAAACAAAATTTTTTCTTCGGTTGGTTATTGTTTGTTTTAGGATGTTGATTATTTAAGTAGTGATGAAGACTAGTACTCTAAAGAGGTAGAAGTGAAGTACTCAGCTGGCGACAATAGAAAATTTCATGATCTACATTTTTTAATGTTTGTGTTATTCAAAATTCATTTGTGTTATTGTATGGAGTTTTTTTTAGACTTTAGTTTATCATTTTTTATTCTGTTACTAGTTGTATTGAAATTAATCTTTCCTTCATTAGAGATATGATGTGAAATTAGTCGATGACAATTTTATTATGTTAAAATGTATGTCAAATGGTCATTTTTAAATAAATCCATTTTGGACTCGGATCCATGAAATCTATTGGATATGGATCTGGGTCTCAATTTTTAGACTCACAGATTCGGGACGGGTCTATATCTAAAATGTGAAAGTGGGTTTGGGCCCATTGCCATCCCCAATATTAGATGAGGGATTAGGGTAAAAAAAAGATATTTTCAACCAAAAAAAAACGAAAGAAGGTAGCAAGTTGTCACCGTCATGTATACAGACAATGCATGAAACTTACACATGTCGGGAGGATAGGCGATGGTTGGCAATTCGGTATTTGGTGGTTTCCTAGGTTAAGAGATTTGGATATGGCGTTTTCACGCCCAAAAGCCAGTGTATGGGGGATGGCGGCATAGGTGCATAGGTGCATGGGTGCCATGTGCTACCGTTGCTACGCCACCCGACAACATTCGTCCACCCGACCCCCTCGTGTCATTCCTTTGGAACTTGAAACCCATGTTGACTTGTCCAAGCAAATTTGTCTTCTCCACGCGCCACCTCTTTACCTCCACTCCGTGCACCTTACATTCTCATTGTTACCTTACTATGTGACCATAGTAAGGGAATAGTAGGAATGCCATCAGGCAGGTCGATCTTTTTTTTTTTTGGTAAAACTGATTCAATCTATGTTATAGTTTAAATAAATTAATTAAATGCTTATTTAATAAATTAAAATATATTTTAAATTAGTTTCCATCGACGACAATTACCCATAATTTTAAATTTGAAGAGTGGCTTAAATAACACTGTAGTTTAATCTCCGTCGAGCTGTCGGGCATTCTAATTATTGATCATTTCTTTATTTTCATATAAAAGGATGTTTTTTTAGGAACATTTTTTTACTTTGGAATGAAAATGACATCATAAAAAACAAGAATAAATTATTTTTCCAATGATGAAATATCTCGCAACAATTTTTTTATCCATTTTGCTTCATTTTATATCAAATAAGTTCAAATAGTGAACATTCTTGGCATGCTTTTCCTTCTTTTAACAGATATTATGATTTTATGTTAGGATACAATACATCAAATGTCATTAAATTATGTCTGTATGATTTTTATAATTATTAAACGTTTAAAATTTATAAAACAATTATTAAATTTATCGATATATTATGAAGTTATCATTATAATACTACATAGTAAATGTAAATTTTAATTAATATACTACAAAATATGTCAGTTTCGTTCGAGTTTTATAGATTTTTCCTTACTAAATTCAAAAAACATAATATTTTATCACTTTTGTTTCATTTTAATTAAGATGTGGTCACCGAAGGTTAACGGCCGTTAAACCTTTAACAGTTTACTGATGTGGCGTGATAAATATAAAAATTAAAATTACATTATTTTAATGTAGATAATACGTGAATTAAATTTTAGTTATTTTTCTTTCATGTTTGTACACTTTTGTTCATCAAATTTAAAAAAAAAAAACATAAGTTTTAGTGACTTACATTATTGTTTGGAACTTATGTTACTGTTTTATTAAGTTTTTCTCACTTTGACGTTGAATGTCGTTAGTTTGATGAAGTGATATGTTAATAAAATGATTTAATTTTAATTTTAACCCTAAAAATTTAGATAAAATATTGATTATGGTTCGAATCAAATATTGACGAGGAAGATTTGGTCTGATTAGCGAGTTGCAAGAGCCAGGGCCCTATGGGATTCCTTTGCATGTGTCGAGGCATGTTGTCTTTGCTTGGTTGGCCATGCTAGATCGTTTGGCTACTAAGGATAGGCTGCTTCGCTTCGGGTTTGAGGTGGATGGGCTTTGTGTGCTTTGCAGGGAAGAGGACGAGTCGAGGAACCACCTTTTCTTTGAGTGTGCTTTCTCAGTTCGGCTTTGGAAGGTGATTCTCTCCATGTGTGGGGATCGACACACTGTGGGAGATTGGGACAAGGTGTCGCAGTGGGATAGGAAGGGTAACTCTTTTTCTAGTTTTATTCTTAAAATAGCGTGGAATGCCTTTCTGTATTTTATTTTGGAAGAAAGGGATAGAATGTACTTTAAGAACGTTTTAAGGGATGAGGAGGAGCTCCTTGAGTGTATTAAAGGAATTGTGCAGGTGAAAATTCATAGCAAAGGAATAGATAGGATGAAGCTTGATTCTCATTTTTGTATAGCTTGGGGGATAAGGGATTGATTTCATTCTTTTGTGCTAGGGTTTGGTTGTATTTTGTAGCAGCTTATGCTTTCTTTTGGATATAATACATATATTTTAATATTTTTTCTCCTCAACCCTCAATATTGCTTATCTTCTCCCTACTTCTTCAAACATCTCTACTCCATTGCAGTAGACTTCTTGTTTTTAATTATTAGTTGTAATCATTTGAAGTCAAATTAGGTGGGTTCTAATTGTAAGAAAAGCTAAAAACAATAAGTAATGAAGATCGTGAAAAATGCATAGAATTGGCCACTAAAACTCTAAAAAGATTCACCACCACGGTAACACCACCACCTCGAGCCAAAAAAACTAGAACTTATTCAATGGTGACATTATTGACGACATAGTATTAGGTTTCCATCTCTGACGCGTTGTAAACCAACAAAATTCTCGTGATGCGAAAGATCATCGCGAATGTTTCGTCGTATTCGAATGTGATCGGCCTCCACAACATTTACAAAGATCAAACCGACGTTCATTTAATGCTGGAGCTCTTCTCTGACAGTGAGTTGTTCGATCGGGTCATTGCGAAAATGAAGAACTCGAAGGTTGGCGCGGTGGCGGTGGTCATGCAAACCGCATGGGTTAACAGTGATTCATAAGGTGAAAATTATTCATAGGGATCTAGAATCGGAAAATTGATTGTTCTTGAGTAAAAAATAAAGATTCAATGTTGAAGATCATGTATTTTGGACTGAGTTCAGTGGATGAATTCATGGATCCAGATATCGGGTTTTTAGATCTATTGATTATATTTCAACGAAGGTGCTTTCTCAAGGGGAAATCACCACGATGAGTAATATTCGATTATTGGGTTATTTGGATCTATTGATTTGTATTCTTGCTCCTTGTTGGATTTAGCATTTTGCATTCTGTAATATCAATCTTTTGAAATTAATTTTAGTCTGTGTAACTGGTATTATCCAGTTTCATTTTATCTCTAGATGACTACCCTCTCATTTTTCTCTGAACTTTTGGTGTTATTATTTGTTATCATAAGTTGGAAATCTTGCATTATTCTTGAAATGCAACATGAGCCCTTGAAAGAAGTCAAATTGAGCAGAGATATCTGAATACGAAGCAAGGAGAAGATGAACAATCATGGGGTTGGGAAGAAAACCTATTAAAAATGGATAAATTGATATGTTATCCCTAAATTAATTTGAATTTACAAAAAGACTCATAATTAGTATTTTGTCTAAAGTGTATGAGTTAAAATAAAAATTAAAATATTTTACTAACTGATTACGTCATCAAACTAACGACATTCAATATTCAATTGACCAAATTTTAATAAACAAATAATGTAAGTGACCAAAACTTAATAAAACGTCACGTATTATCTATGTGAAAATGATATAATTTTAATTTTATATATTTATTGTGTCACGTCAACAAGCTGTTAAAGGTTTAACTGTTATTAACTTTTAATAACTACATTTTAATTAAAACAAAACGAAAGTGATCAAATATTATATATTTTTAATTCAATGAGGAAAATTTTATAAATCTATGGTAAAAATGATCATTTATATAGTTTACCCTTAATATAATCATATTTTATAATAATTTAATAAATTTAATAATTATTTATGATTTATACAATTTTAATATAAATTAATCTAATTTACTTTACTATCTTATATAATGCTAACGTTGAGGAATTTTCACCGTTTAAGACTCCAAATTGAGCCCGAAACGGTAGAATAGGTCAACCCAATGTTTTTTTTTTTTAGAACTTATCAAATATAGTTTCCCGACAAATAAACGTCAGCGACGAAGCGCACGATCCCAGGAAATAAGGGCGTGTTTCCACGCGCTCCAATGTCGTAGCTCTCTTTTCCCTGTAGTTCGTCATGCAACCGCGGCGGCGCATGCACTTTATATCAACCATAGTTATTAACAGAAAAAATTACAGGCCGCCTATTATTAAAAAATATATAAACAAAAATTTTCGATTGTGAGGTCCTATTTGTCATTATAATTGTGTTAGGATTGAGAAATTCTTAATATCTTTTGTGCGAGTAATATAATATTAGTAAAAAAGAATATTAATTAAGAATATAATATTATTATTATTAGCACGAATTAACTTAGAGGTAATGGGTTCGAACATCAACAACTGCAACAATGTGATTAAACGTTCATTGTCAAATAATTGAGAATATTTAGAACATACACTACTTTGTAATCACCTTAACTTAATAAAAAAATATATTATAAAAATAAAAAGACTTAATAGGCTTAATACCAAAATAAATTTCCTATTAAATAACATGTGTCACAACATGTTAATTTAAAAATTAAAATTATATTAAAAAATAAAAAAACATAAATTTTGAAATAAACCCAAAATTTTGAAAACCTTCATTTCAACCCCTAAACCACTCTGTCCCCCGCCTTTTTTCGTCGACGATCTCCTCCCGACCTCCCCTCCCCCGACGATCAAAACCCCCATGAAATCGTGACCGACCGATGACTAATCAATGTTTTAACCCGTCTGAACCTTAGGATTAAAATTACGATTCCGACGACCAATCGACGAAAAATACGACGGTGCATGAGAAGGAGAATGGCAACAACTACGTCGGTGGTGGCAGATTAAGGTTTAGATTTGAGATTTTGGGATTGTTTTATAATATACGAAAATTAGTATTTTTTTTATAAATATCGTAATATTTGTAATATTTTATTTAAAAATAAATTTCAAAATTACTAGATTATAATACGTGTCATTTAAATGGGAAAAATTAACTTCGTTGACTGCCTAAACACCTAAACGAGCAATGGTTGTAATGTTAAGTAGCTGAATGAGACAAAAAATAATTTAGGCGCCTATTTGAGAAAAACGGTATAATTTTAACACTGGTATTAAGCCAAATGAAAAATATCATAAAAAATTAATACTTTATTTCTAAGTAATATTTCTGGCCCCTAACGGTTATTAATTTCCGGCCGTCTAAGCTCTTCAGCTCCTATATAAATAGGCGCCACACTCGTTAGTTTACACCCCAAAATCTAAAGCCCACCATATCCTTCTACTACCTTCTTTCAATTCTCAGATTCCAGCCATGAGAAGTGACAGAGAGAGTGTGTGGCTCTTTGCTCTCGCATCCAAATGGCTAGCTTTTTCTGAAGAAAGCTTTGCATGGTCAGTTTTGATCATCGTTCTTACCTGGCTTTTTATGACCCTCGTCTGTTGGGCTCACCCCGGTGGTCCAGCTTGGGGTAAGTTCAGGTTCTTAAACCGTTCCTTTCTTTCTGCTGTTAACAAGAGGATTCCAGGGCCTAGAGGTTTGCCTGTAATTGGCAGCATGAATCTCTTGGCCAGCTCCTTGGCTCACCACCGGATTGCGGCCGCTGCTCAAGCATGCAATTCCGAGAGGCTAATGGCCTTTAGCCTCGGTCATACTCGTGTCATCGTTACGTGTAATCCTGATGTAGCCAGAGAGATTCTTAACAGCTCCGTGTTTGCTGATCGGCCGGTGAAAGAGTCGGCTTATAGATTGATGTTCAACCGTGCTATTGGCTTCGCTCCTTACGGTGTTTACTGGCGAACCCTGAGGAGAATCGCGGCGACGCATCTTTTCTGTCCTAAGCAAATAAAAGGTGCGGAGGATCAGAGGCGCGAGATTGCCTCCGAAATGGTCACTTTATTTGCTCAACATGACCGAATCTTCCAAGTTCGCCAAGTGCTCAAACGGGCTTCTTTGAACAACATGATGACTTCTATATTCGGACGAAAGTATAAGTTAAATTCCACCAATAATGAAGTTAAAGAACTGCAAGCGCTGGTTGATAAAGGGTACGATTTACTCGGCACATTAAATTGGTCCGACCACCTCCCTTGGCTAGCGGAATTCGACCCTCAAAAACTCAGAGTTCGATGCTCTAACGTTGTACCTAAAGTTGAACACTTTGTCTCCCGAATTATATCCGATCACAGAGCTAAATCAAACGGCGAAACAGAAGATTTCGTTGATGTTTTGCTTTCTCTCCAAGGTGACGATAAATTATCAGACTCCGACATGATCGCCGTTTTGTGGGTAAGCAAGCTATATGTTTAATAATCACTATTTATCATATGTTTCATATTTATTTTTGGGTCCAAAAATGAAGTTTACTAAATGAAAAATCGAATACTAATATTATTTGTGGTACCATACTACTAAATACGGTCATTTGTTTATTGTGTAGGAAATGATATTCAGGGGAACTGATACAGTTGCGGTCTTGATCGAGTGGATACTAGCCAGGATCGTGCTTCATCCCGATGTTCAACGAAGGGTCCATGATGAGCTTGACGAAGTTGTTGGTAGGTCAAGAGCCGTTGACGAGTCCGATGTAACCAACATGATTTATCTAGCGGCTGTGATCAAGGAGGTTCTAAGGCTTCATCCGCCTGGCCCACTGCTCTCTTGGGCCCGCCTCGCTATCACCGATACGACAATCGATGGGTATGACGTGCCGAGAGGGACAATGGCAATGGTTAACATGTGGGCCATCGCGAGGGACCCTCAGGAGTGGCCGGACCCACTCGAATTTATGCATAGATTTGTTACAAAAGAGGGCGAAGTGGAGTTTTCTGTGCTTGGTTCGGACCTTAGGTTGGCTCCATTCGGGTCGGGCAGACGGACATGCCCGGGGAAGAACTTGGCTTTGACCACCGTCGGCTTCTGGGTTGCCACCCTTGTGCATGAGTTCGACTGGCTGCCGTCCGATCAAAATACTGTCGACCTATCCGAGGTTCTCAGGCTATCTTGTGAAATGGCCAATCCTTTGAGCGTTAAAGTTCGACCCAGGCGTAGGTTAAGCCTATCTCCCTCACATGGAAAATGAGATTAAAAATGGAAATTAATGCAAGACAGAATGATTACCAGTAATAGCTTATATGCATATCCCTCGAGTGTTTTTAATTTCATAAGCTTTTAACCGTTGTAAAATGTAAATATGGGTGGTCAGAGTGACATACAAGTTCCTAATGAGTACTGTAAAACTCTTCGTTTCTACCTTCCCACTTTTTAATTCCATTTGTTTTCGTTTGATGAAATTGGACCTCAAATAAGAGTTGTGGAGTCAATGTCAATGGAAGAATAAATTTGAACAAGTCGACGTAATATTCTTTATGAAACTTGTTTTATTTGCTAAAAGCTCAATTTATTTTCCTTTTTCTAAAAATATGTCGACACTGAGAACTTACAATTTACAAAGAAACCTGAAGGTTGTGTGACTGTGCCTTTGCGTGGGGTCATTTTTATGTAATATCATCCTAATCTTTTACGAAAGAAACAAAAGTAACAAAGATTAGAAGGAGGACACGACCGTTTATCTCATTTGCGGTCATTATTGATTGAAAGAAATCCAACGCCCAATGCATATGCGTAGGGCATCCAAATTTACTATCTTTGTTTCAACTTTTTATGCAGCTCTGCCTACTTTTCTTCCTCGCTTTCAGAATTCTTCCCTCACATGTCTTCACCTAACCTTCTAAATTTGGGGATTCAGACATCCAATATTATTCAATTATAAATTATATATAATCATTGTTATTAAATTTTAAATTATTTTAATTTCAGAACTATGAATTTAATTATAATGGTGTATCATTAACGACATGATCGCTTTTTTGTAAATTTTAATATATGTATCGCCTTTATTATTAAACTTTAAAATACGTCATTTTTAGACATTAAATTTTATTCCGTGTATCAATTTAGTCTACATAAAAAAAGTATGAACTCCTCTTATCATTGTTGTCAATCGATTACTATTGGTAACAAGTTGCTAGACAAGATTTTTTTTTGCTCCGCAAAGTAAAATTTTATTTATTTTTAGAATAAAATTCTATCTAAAAGTCTCACTAAAAACTTCCCTAATTCTATCGACGGGGTTGGTTCAAGTGGTAAGCAGCTTGATAACGTTTAAGCAATGTCTCACGTTCGAGTCCTTGTATATGCAAAAAATCTCACTGGAAGACTCACCCACCAAAGCTAGGTGTGAGACCCGGGTTGGTCCAGATTAATCAAGACGAAACTTTAGAACTAGAGTGCAACCATAAAAAACATCCCTTATCCTAGATGAAGAAAAAGAGTACTCTTTTCACTGAACATTAACGAAACAAACGTCAATGCAACAATGTGGCCTTACAGAAAACCATCTAATCTGCACACCCAAACATTAACACCACTTAGTATACCCCACAGTGAACACACCCAAATGTTATCCAAAAATCACACACCAGAACGTTATCCAACCAAGATTAAGTTGAGAATAGCACCACCATGATAGAAAGCAGAAATACAGAGCTCCCTGATTGAAGTAACACCTTTGCATAATTTGAACACAAATGCTCCAGACTGAACAAGATCAGTTCACTACCTCCAAACGCAACAGCAGATTATCGCGACTAGAAAAACGGCTTACAACTCCATTGGCCTTCAAATGCTACCTCACAAACCCCCAAAGAAACAGCACAAATAACTTGTAACACTCGACTTTACTCCGCAAGCTCTTACACTACAAGACTTGTAAACGACAAGGCTCATGAAATCAACAAAATCGACAAAATTCACAGGTTTCAAAACTTCCAAAGATTCCTTCTTAAAATCACCTTTCAAATTTCAAATAAACACACCATATCCCTCAAATCTATAAAACTCCAAACCCTAAAAGTCATAGATTTTTTGTATTTAATTTCATTAATTCTAGAGAAGGTTTAAAAAATTAAGTTGATAAAATGATAGAGGACAATAAAACCGTTTTTTAATTAATCACTGGTATTCGATCTATTGATCGACTAATCCAGATCGGATACTGCAAAGGCGAAATAAATATGGGATCTTCATTTAGGAATGTTTCTCTAAATAATTTTTTTCAACTTAAAACCATCGTTTTTTAATGTTTTTGTGAGTTAATGATCACGTTATAAGCATAGATTTTTGAATAAAAATAAATTGTTTGAGAATGATTATACGATTAAAACAGAATTTTGGGAGGAAAAAAAACTTTCATAAACATTCCCTAATTATTCCTAAAAATACCAAAGTTCAATGTTTGAGAGTTTACCAGATAAGGAATGAGTAATCATTGTTGGAGTTGGCTGTTTCTGGGATTAAATTCCAACAGACAACTTGTGGTGGACGATACAAGTGCAATAAAACCTACACATTTATCATCAGTTTTTTTTTTTGAAAAAAAATATTTTCTTTTTTATCTTAATAAATATATTATTTTGAATGGATAATTTCAAAATCATACTTTCCTTTATTCTTTTAAACTTTCTAATAAATCATTTACTTTATTTGTATTCTTTCATAATTAATATTTATGACTTAATAAATTATATTATACTGATGACAAATATAGAATGATCTCAACAATTTAAAGTTCGAATTTAAACTCGATCACCAAAGATTTGAAAACATTACTGAAAGAATATGTTAACTACAGTGAATATTCAACACTGGCTGTGATCTTGAAAATTTTTCAATTCTCTTTTCAGTTTTCATGATATATTAAAAAATGAATATATAATATATATCTTTTATTTTACTCATTTATGTTTTAAATTTTATAAAAGAAAATATATAAATTCTATGAATTAAAATTTTATAAGTAAAAATCAATAAATTAGAAATAATAAAAACAATTTTTTATATAATTTTTTTATTTTAATATTAAGAATTGCCTTTACTAAAAAATATATCACATGGACAATTTGATAAAATATACAAAACATTGTCTTACATTCCTATCAAACAAACCAAACAAAGTAATATAACATTCCTAATAATGTGTCAAGTAATGTAATATTCCGATAATTTTATTCCCAAAGGTAATCTTATATTCTATGAACCAAACAACCCCTTATTATTTAGGTTAACTATAAGATTGATCATTTATTTTTGTGTTTAATTCACTTTTCCTCACCGAATTCAAAAAACATAATATATAGTTACTTTCGTTTTTATTTAATTAAGATAATGTCACTTTTATTTTTTATTTAATTAAGATGTGACCACCACAAGTTAATTGCGGTTAACAATTAATAGATTAAGTGATGTTGTGTTTTGGTATAATTACACATTTGGTCTTTATTATTTACATATTCTTTCGTAGTCTTACTTTTAATAAATTTAATTTAATTTAATCCTCTAATCGAATGATGTAATGTGTCATTGGTGCCAGTGTCATTCCATGTGTCACCATTCGGTTGAAGGGTTTAGATTTATTTTTATTTATTTTAATTTAATATATTTATTTTAACATAAAATATATTAAATAAAAAGAATGTTAGTTTTCTAAATGAATAGTGACACATGACACCAATGACACATGGCATCATTCGATTGGAGGATTAAACTTATTTTAATTTATTAAAAATATGACTAAATTGAGAGAATATGTAAGTAACATGGATACAATGTGTGATTATACCAAAATATTTAACGACAATTAACTCTTAGTGATCGTATCTTAGTTAAATAAAAACGAAAATAATTATATATTATATTTTTTTTAAATCAGTGAGGAAAAGTAGATAAAACGCAAGCATAAATAATTAATTATGTAGTTAGTCCATATTATTTTATATGAATCAATTCCAAGGGGATTTCCCGGTTGAATTTCTCAAATAAAGCAGTTGAAAAAAAAAATTCAAATAAGGCACTCTAAAAATAATTTCGTGAAATAGAGTAAATGCTACAGTAAACCCGAAGACGCATTGGAGTCCAAGCGACTTACACAGGGAGACGCATGGAGTGCAATGCGTCTCCCATATTTTTTCAACTATGTAAAAGTACAAAGGGTAAATTACACAATTAATCATTCATATTTTTATGTTAGTCGTGTAAATATATATATAAACTTTATATCTACTAAATATTCAATTTAAATTGGTATTATGAATTTATTTAACATTAATTTAATTATAAAACTATTTTTATTAAAAATACACGATATATTATCATAATGATACTATTTTGGACAACAATTTCAATTAGAAATTATGTAAGCACGATATTGGTTTCTTTAGTACACAAATTCAATGTTTGGACTCCAAAAAAATTACCCTTTGTACATTTATGAAAAAGTGAAAACAAATACCCTTTAGTACACAAGTTGAGTGATTAAATTGAAAAAAATTAAAAGTACAATGAGTGAATTTGGAGAAAGAATAAAGTTAAATGATTAATTATGTAATTTACCCTTCTTTTTTTCCACATGTACAAAGGGTAAATTACATAATTAATCATTCAATTTTACTCTCTATTCAAATTCACTCACTTACTTTTAATTTTTTCAATTTAATCACTCAACTTTTGTTTTACTCTTATTTTGATCACTCATCGACTATTGTTCAAGTTGTTATATAGAAGCCAATTTGATCCATCAGCTCTAGCATTGAATTTGTGTATTAAAGAAACCAACATCGTGCTCAAAATAGGAGTAAAATAAAAGTTGAGTGATTAAATTGAAAAAATTAAAAGTACAATGAGTTAATTTAGAGAGAGAATAAAGTTGACTATTAATTGTGCAATTTACCTTTTGTACATTTACATAACAATGAAATTGGTGAAAAAAATATGGGAGACGCATTGCACTCTATGCGTCTCCCCCAAATTTGTGTGTAAATCACTTGGACTCTAATGCATCTTTGGATTTACTGTAGTATTCACTCTATTTTACGAAATAATTTCAAGAGTGCCCTATTTAAACAAAAAAAAATTCAATTGTATTATTTAAGAAAATTAGCCAGATTTCCCGGTACGTGCCTAAAATGTTATGGACAACCACAAAAATTATTCCCCAATTAATTGCTTGATAGGACAGGAAATATAGCCATATTGGAATTCTTTACTTGGTTGAAAATATAAAGGTAAACTACTAGATTGATTACATTCTTCTGATATTTATATACTTTTTTTTTTGGATAAATCAAATTTTATTATCC